GGAGAATCGAGCCTGAGCCTACAAAGGAATTCTCATCAAGACCTGCAGATTTGCCTTCTTTCATCCAGACATGGTTGAGACGCTTGCATTGTGATGAAAATTCCTCAGCAGTTGCACGGCGGTACGTGGTTGTATCCTGCAGGTGAATTTCTGTTATGGCACGATCTAAGGACTGTGGCATAACGACAAACTCTCCTCCCTCATCGCCCACAGAGATTCTTATTGTGCCGTTTGATCTTAGCTCGCATATCTCCCTAAACCCTTGCCGTTGCTGGAATGTCAAATTGCTGTTCTGATGCTGCCTATGTTGGTTTAATGCATTAAGCACACCAGTTGACAGCATTCGCACTTTGACATCTACATTTGGCACAGGGTCAGGTTCTCTGTAAAACATACGCGGAAACGGTGCAGTTGGGAGAGATCTCTGATTCGCGGTAGGTAAATGTACGATATTGGCTCACGAGACTGAAATATCGTCGAGGAAAGCGTTGGAAGCGTTCTGGATTTCAGCTAGAAATGCAGATATGAACAGCCGGAAGGAGTGTGTGATTATCACAAATGTTCTCTTGCCATTTATGCAACACTGCGAGTTAGTTCCATAATCAGCGAACCGTGCTGATCCGTAATAATATTGCATATGGACAGCAGACTAAGATCATTCGCTAATAATGTACTAACCGTGTAGCGTGGCTACACTTTGCGGTGGAAGTGAGGTGAGCTTACCTTTCGGTTTTTGGACATTTTTCGTGCATTCCTGTTAGTACGTCAGAAACGCTAGAGCGGAAGAGGCGCTTGGTGGGGTAGTGTACAATCAACACGCTTTGAACCACTTTCAGGCCTTTGAAAACGACGAGTCCGTCGAAACGTCGGCCAGAATAAATATTCCATCTACAAACCTCCAGGCAGAAGCAAAAACTAACGATTTCAAGTGAGAAGTGGATTTTCTATACCACTCTTCTTATCACAATCACAAGGAGTAGCTGGCTGACCGAAAAGCTGACATACTGGCCCGACAAATCTCTATATTTCTGGATAGATAATGAAGGACGGTATGGTTCACTCTTTTCAGAACCCGCTTCACATTTTCGGTTTCTTGGAACAACGACAATATTGACGATGACGACGACGACCGGCTGACATTAAGTGTTCGAGAGTAAGTTTACGATGTGTTTCAGAGCGGAATGTATGTGAAAACGATTAATAGCCCATGTGTAGCACGAAAAGTAACAAATCTAACGATAGCTTCACGGAGGAAATGTTTGGATCGCCGCTCAGCATGGCAAAACGTAGAAAGGAAAAACCTTATCGAATGCGACAAAAGAGCGAATGAAAGCAATGGCGTGCTCGCTGACTCCGGCTTTCAACGTAAATCAACATGCGGAAATGTTCGAGTTTAATCGGTTTTTCNTCTATCAATGCAACGACTAGTATCTCTGACTTAAGTGCTGTCTGCGCGTCGAGTGTGTTCGGTTGCGGTGGTGGTCACCACTGCAGGCGACAATGGTTCCGCTACGGCCACCGTATCCTTCCACTGAGAACTCAAACCTTCCTCTCCATAGCGCGCAACCGTGTGCGAACGAATGCAATTTTTGGGGAGAGTTCTTTGGGAAAACCCGTTCTACTGACCAGAGCGCACAATATGTCATCTTGATCAGAAGGGTGAAATCCCACCGCGGCAGGCACGTAGGCTTCAATGTTTTTGCAGCACCTACCGTAAATGATGCTCGGGTACAAAGTCTCAGAGGTCCTCCATATTCGGTGATCCAAAGGCGCTGCTGTCAAATTTCGAGATAAATAGCAGTAGTTGGGAATTCAAACAGCGACAGAACAATTGCATCGCGCGCTTTGTCAGAGAACAAACCAGCTGGCGATATCACATAGAATCGTAGCAAAAACTCAAGTGGACTCGAGGACGAACTGGTTGCCGTTGGATCTTAGATGCTAGAAAAGACAGTTTTAGAAAAGAAAGTCGATATTAGCACCCATTGACATTACTAGAGAAGTCCAATAAAGGTTTTGCTGAACGTTCAACCGTTGTGGAAACTTCCCTTGTAGTTCATAGAAAGCGCACAAGATTTATTGAACATTTCAGTTACGTTGACGAAAGCTCCCAAGCGATTCAAGATCCACAAGCTTTCATGCCCAAGAGTAGTTGGAAGAAAAATGGTAACCATTCATGCTATTTTACGCTCAGATTTCTTCATTAGTTGAAAGATCTTCGAGTTTATCTACGTTAATCGACTACCATTCCCGTAAATCGAATCAATATAGCTACTGCTCCTCTGCACTTTATAGAGATGACCAAATGCGATGGACCTTGTGGACATACGTATCCGCCAGAATCACTGGACCTCTTGGGTCGATGTGGACACTTTTTATGTAAAGTCTGTCACGGACTTGTCCAAAATGATGACGGTATGTTAAATAGAGCTTTTATGTTGGTCAACCACCGTAGGCAAAAAGGAGTGTCGAAGAAATACATTCAAAAAAGGTAAAAGTAAATAAAGGTAGAAGGATGGCTCGGCTGTGTCGAATAAGGAATGACTTTCAGGGGTGGAAATAAAAGTTTCTGTTTTGCTTGATACAGAGCACACTACGAGGCATCAAAAGAGAAATGGCCTCGGTCACCGCTGTCATCGCCTATCGAACAAAGATGTGATGAGCGTATGAAGCAATGTAGTAGGATACCAATAATTCTAGCTAATCGACATCGCCAGGGTGGTCCGGGGAGGGGGAGGATTTTGATAATGTTGCGTCCGAGGTAGCAGGCAGCAGATGGAATATTTCTTAGAGAATAAACTGAATATAACTACAATCGAGGGGTTTATATACCCC